AAGGTCTAAAGCAAAAAGCTATTTTCAACTAACGTCAAGCCCTTCACAATACAGTGACCTGATCCCAAATTCATTCTTTCCTGAAGCTGCCTAACATGTAGAAGTAATTACTCATTTCTGGAATGAAGGCTTTGAAGTAGGAGTAGTCACATGTGCCCTGACGCCTTTCACAGGAATTCGCTTTTGGCTCGTTAAAAGACTGTCATATGTCTGCCTTAAAAGCTACTCCATCAATCGCTTTTCGATTATTCTAAAGGTCACTGGAGATGAACAGTGAAAGACACCTCTTCTTCAGTTTAAATACTTTTAAAAAGAATAAAGTAGCTCTGAGTCCTTGGACAAGAATTGGTTGAAAATATTGTTGTCCTACACGAGAAGGAGGCATGAATACCAGTGAAGGGGCAAAATATACTTTTCAGGCACCGACACAAAGAAGGCGACTTAACCTGTCGGCTCAGTGATGGTATTAATCATATTCACATCATTTCAACACTTCCATTAGTCTCATCCACACAACTAGATACGTCCATGTTGGATTTGGTCCTCTTACAACATGTGCTTTGAAAAGGCTCTTACCGAAGAGAATACTATGATTAGTTCACACGTAGCTTCAACTTTCGAAGGACCCCACAGTCCATTCTGTGTTTCAACCGAATAAGTTGCCATGTCGGTGTGGCCAAAGGATTGTTCGTGCGCTTGTGTGTGCGTTCATTTATCTAGGCGCCTGCCTGGGCCAAAATTGGGACAATGAAGACTATTGAATGAGAGTTTTCCTGTTGATTCCGCAGCTAACGGCCGGGTGGCCCGCCTCTAGTCGGTCACCAATAGGCTGAGATCCAGATCAAATTTCCATCCTAGTGACACAGATGGTAGAAACGGCTGGGTCGCCGATAGTTCGGCTCCGTTGGCTTGGGTTTCAGTCTGACTGACCTTTTCCACGGGGTCTGAGTTTCTAGCCGACCCCAATTTGATCCTTCGTAGGAAAAACTGTGGCAAAAAGCAAAATTGGATACAACGT